ACACATTAAAAAAAAAATAAAAATTATTCAAGGTACAAATTTATTTCCCCGTCACCCCAATCCTCATCAGCGCCACGTAAGCAACCACCCTATACACCACCAGCATCAGCCCCAACGCTGCCACGCACACCCATTTCCCGCCGAGCCCAACAGCCCGCACCGCCGGAAAATCCGCCACCTGGCAGACCCGACCCGGCCCACACGGGTACGTCTGGCCCGGCCCGTACTGCGTCCCCAGGTACAACTTGTATGTGTACTGCATAATCGACCCGTAACGTATCCACCCGATAAACCCGGGCATCCGCTGCACGTAGAAACCACTCGCCAGCTGGAAGACGAGCACCACAACCGACGCCAGCGCGTTCGCTGACTTGGCGTCCATGACGAGTGCCCCGATGGCGAGGCCCAGGCCCTGCGCGCACAACACGCCGTAAAGGGTCACCGCAAGGCCCGATAGGAACGGGCCGGGCCCGGGCTTGAGGCCCGCCATCCAATAGACGGCCGTGTAGAAGGCGGTCGGGAGGACGAGGACGGTCGGGAGGTCGCCGAGGGTGAGGGCCATGAAGAAGGACGAGAGGCGGTACGTGCCAGACGAGCGCTCCTTCTCGAGCATCATGCGCTCTTGGGGAAACGTGAATATGGCCTCGAAAACCGGGTAGAAGCCCCAGAAGCACGACAAGAAGTAGAGAAGGCCGACCTGCGATTTTTTTTAATCAAGCCGAGTTCGACGAACAGAGAAAAAATTAGGCTCGTTCAGTAATCGAACGAACACGGGTTAATCAAACAAGTTAGAACGAACAGATCTCGAGTTAATCAAACAATTTTAGAAAGTTTATGTACTAAAGCATTCGAACGCGAACTGGACTCGAATTTTGACGAATAATAAAAAACGAGCGAGCTCAAGAACGATATATTGCTAGAAAAATAAACGAACGAACTCAAACAGTAATAATCGAACATGAGCTTGGAAAGTTAATAAATCTCAGGCTCGTTTGGTTCGATTACATTTACTTTACCTGATCCTGTAGGTTGCTGATATCCGACTGCCACCATAGGAGGCCGGATATGATAGCGACGACCATGACCTGCAAGACCTTGATAGCCTTGAAGGTCTCGTGTTTTTTCTCTTTTAGCCCTCTTCTGAACAACACCGTGAATTGCGACCACCAAGAGTTGGCCCACTTGCTCGACTCCTCATCGTCCGTGGTGGAGTCGTGATTATCATAGCTGCTATAGGCCTCCAGTTCGGCGCTCACCGACTCGGAGAGTTTTGCTTTGTAGGCCGACACCAGAGTCTGCTTCACGGCCGCTTGATCCTCTTGAAAATCGTTCGCCGTGACTCCTGTGTGTAAAAAAACCGAAAGCAAAAAGTTTGTTTTGAGTTGTACCTTGGTGAACATCGGAGAATCCACCACCGATGAACAACAACGTTGTTCTAGTCGAACACTCGCTCGAAAAACAACAAAATCACCAAACGTAACATACCGTTGGCAAGATCGAGCAAGAAATCGGCCGGGTTCATAGCGACCGACGGCGCAAACCCGACTCCCGAGAAATAATCCAACGCGGCGCCGCCGTCCCCAAAATACAGCGTACTCCCCTCCGACAACAAAAGCACCTTATGAAACATGTAGAAAAGCTTGCTCGACGGCTGGTGGATCGTCATCAAGACCGTCCGGCCGCCGCCTTCCGCGAGATCCAACAGAGTCGAGACTATCGTCTGGGCCGTGGTCGAGTCCAAACCGGACGTTGGCTCGTCGAGAAGCAACAAGCTGGGGTCGACCAACAACTCCTGCCCGATACTCACTCTCTTCCTCTCCCCACCCGACACGCCTCGTTTGTGGGCCCCACCGATCAGGCTGTCCCTGCACCCGTGCAGGCCCAGTCGTCCCATCACGGCCTCGGCGTGTTGTACCTTGCTGGTTGTACCGAGGGCGCGCGGTAAGCGGAGGAGGGCGGTGTAGACGAGCGTTTCCTTGACGGTGAGGTGGGGGTAGAGATTGTCATCCTGCGTGACGAACCCCGTGGAGCGCCTGACGGAGTTGGAGAACAGGCGGCCGTTGTAAGTGATGGAGCCGCCCGCGGGGAGGCGGCCGCCGAGGGCGGTCAGGAGGGTCGTCTTGCCGCTGCCTGAGGGGCCGAGCATGGCGAGCATTTCTCCTGGTCGGACAATTCCGGTTATGCCCTTGAGGATAAGTTTTTCGCCGTCATCGGTGTTCGACGGGTGGCCGTGATTTTTCGTTTTGGCGCGGTAAACGACGTCGTTGAACTGCATATGTGGAATTTTTTTTATTATTATTACTTTTTTTTTTTTGGTTATTGACATAAGGAATGCATGCACACATGATAAATGTGCAGAGATGTTGAAAATTTGAAATGATGAGTTGGTGATTTTAGTTTGGAGAGAATTTTGAAAGGAAGCAAGAGGATTGTGTGAAAGGTGAAGTTAAACTACTCAATACCAACTGAGGTTTTAAGGACGTGAGTTTGTTTCTTTGGGGGTAAATGGAGAAGAATTAGATATCAAGTGAGGATTTTTCATTTTCATAGACTAATGTGTGGTGGTTTAGGAAAACATACATTCTCAATATGTATACTTTAAAAACAGTATAAACAAAAAGTATGACATTTGACGGAGAAAATGATGAGTCCATCAAATTACTGGTTACCGATTACACAACCATATTTTTTAATTGGAATTTCGTACTATAAAATATAACATAAATATAAATATAACATTTCAAAGCATGAGTATCAGTGTTTTTAAAAANCCGATAAATAATTAAGTCGTTTCATGCTTGTGATTTGAAATTGAGTTAAAAAAAAAAAATGCCATAGCCATAAAATTGGTAAAATCAAGTGAGTAAAATCCTGGGTTGAAGGTGAAAATATCACCATAAAATCACAAATAAATAGTAAAATGAACAGATTAAATAAATTAAGCAGTTGATATTTTGAATTAGACCTTCAATACGACCGGACGATTCACATTCCTGAAGATTTCGTGGGCCTCACCGCCGCCCGTCGCCGCTGCCGCCACCTCGACGTCCGTCCCGACTGCCGCCATCTCCACCCTGATTTTTTATTCACCGGCGAAAAGAACAAATAATTTTCAGTTCTTCATGCCCTCGCAATATGTACCATTAAATGAGTGATCGATAATTGTGAAAGTGCGTTAGCTAAACCACATATTAACAAGAAAAATAAAAGGGTTTTTTTATATATATATATTAAAAGAAAACTTTTGATGAAAAAATAATAATAGTAAAAAAAGAAAGAAAGAAAATTGGGTGAGATTTAGAAACGTATCATGAGAGGAAGGTGATCGATATAGGGCACCTGTGTTTTCTATCTATCCCTGCAAATTTGTTTATCAGATGGATTATTATTATTTATAGTATCAGTTCTATTTTTAAGGGAGCAAAAAAACTCTCCAAAAATGTTTTTCTTCTAATATTACTGAGTCCAACTACAATACTTATATAACATTGCTAATTAATAAATTCGCACTTATCTTTTTTAAAAGAAAAAGAAAAAGTTTTTTTTTTTTTAAAATAAAATAACTACATTATTATTTTGATTTGAGATTATATTCGTCGCCCGTAAGGACTTATTCGCTATAGTGAAAATAAAATTCTAAACTCATATGGTCGATAGATAATGTAACGCCTCGTTTTATTTTAAAGAATTTATTGAATTTATTTACAAAAATCAGAGTTTATTTTTTGCAAAATCTCAATTTAAAACTTTAACATTCAACGGGCGCTACTTAGACAACTAAAACAAATAGACATTTACAAAGATAAAATCTAACAGTTCAAAATAAAATTCCAATTATCCATAAACCTCAAACCAGTCATGCATAAAGAAATGCTTCGGCAGAATTCAATAGTCTAATCAACAGGTTCGAAATAAATAATGCGGAAACATAGTTATTCAAAGTTGGACAAATGGTTTATCGAGATAATAGAAAGAAAAGCGGAAGCAAGTAACACACAATCCAACGACCACCACTCGATCATCTCTCGCTGCCGCCGCCAACCATGCTCAACCTAAAAGATAAGAAGAGGAACAAGAGGACAGAAAAGTAAATGGGGGTGAGTACAACCATCATACTCACCATTACCGCACAGTATATTTCGCATAAAGATCCATAACTATAAATAACGTATGCATAGAATCCAGATCTAACTCCCTATTAGGCCATATCGCAAACCTACTATGTACATACAACAAATCTTCCGACCAGACATCGGCAAGGATGTAACTGGAAGCACTCCCACCCCGGATGCAACGGGCATAGGATATTATCCAGGAGACAGTGAAGTTGAAATACCCCTCCGCTCTACACGGATTCGGGCGTTCAGACAATCCCCTCCGCTCTACACGAATTCGGGCGCCCACCTCCCGGATACGACGGGCAAGTGACTTCCACTGATTATGTATTCGTCAAAGGCACTACCGTCAGGACACTTAGACTAGGGTTCTCACGCATACAGAAGCCATCGCGACAAACATTTATACGAAATAACAAGTGCGATAAATGTAGATTCAATATAAATGAACCCATCGAGTCAAACACACAAGAAAAGTAGTCGGCGAGGTTGACTCGTCAAACACCTACATATATTAAAATAGCCTTATCAAAGACTATTCGACAATTTACTTAGTTCAACTAAGTCCACGTAAGCATTCAAGCATGCATTAGATGAATCCACATAAGTTTTGAAAAGTTAACTCGGGCAGCGTTTTTAAAATCGACATAACTTTCAGCACACAACTCGTATGAACATCAATCAAATTGCATTGGAATCCTAAGAAAAGAATCTACAATTCTTATGAAGACACTGAAAGCAAAAGAGGTCATTTAACAAGTGATAATCCAATAAACATCAAAATTTGAGTCACAGTACAAAACTGGAAAAATACACTTGACCAGACTTCAGTAATTTCTATATAACTGGAGCAACAGTCATGCTTTTAATGAATTTCAAAAACCAAATGATAGATAATTAAAATTTCTACAACTTCTCTGAAGATCATATTAGCAAATAATCACATTGACCATGAGTTTAAACACAAAACATGTGATTCAGTAAATCTGTCAAAACTAGTATAATGAACATGGACAGTATCTCAGTTTTTAACCTTTATCTTGAGCTACAAACCTCCAATTGATATGGTTCACATCTCAATTTAAACCTTAGGAATTCATCTACAACTTTTATTTAGAGCACAGAAGCATTTAAGATCATTTGGATAGGATAAAATCGGTTCACATTCCATATCAGATATCTGCCAAAATAATAAGTTCTAACTCATGCATGTCTAACTTCATACAAGCACAAATCGAGTTACAGAGCACGTATCGACATGAAATCTATCTCATTTGAAAGGCAAGAAACAGATCTATAACTTTCGTGAAGGGTATAAGTTCATACGAGTACATTATAATATGATAAACAGGTCACACATTAATTACAGATACGCTGCTGGGTAGCAGGAAAACTGGACGCGCAACATTTTTATAAAAATCACAACTTATTCGATATAACTCGAAATTGAGAAATTCCAAATCCCAGGTTTAGAAAACTGAACATACTACAATTCTTATGAAGACCACATTTTCAAATAACCAGTCTCAGATAGCTTAAAACGCGGCACAACAGATCAGCGAAAAACATATTTTTCACATAAAATACCAACGAATAAAAACGGATGGTTCGAAACTCGACAACGATCAATATATTTTCTCGACAGCAAATAAACGAGCACATTGAGGTTTAACATAGTAACAACATGATATTCGGTTTAACAAGGTTACGAGCATAACACGATAAACGAAACGACATGTACGAGCCGATAACAATTCTAACCAAAATCCGACTTCAACCAAATAATCGGTAACACGTATGATTTATATGTATATATATATCTCATGTAATATACGAATACGACCGGAATAACGAGAGGATTCGAATAAGTTACCCGCTATCGAAAATTCACGAGCTAACTGAGGAAAAACGGGCCGAACGACGGCTCGGTCGAACGGGTCGGAAATTGGCTCGTGAACGGAACTCGGAAAAACGAAACGAAAATAGACAAACGGCACGTCGGCTCGACGGCTTGTCGCGTCTCGTCAAGAACGACGTCGGGGCTGCTCGTAAGGTGGCTTACCGAGACGGGCTCGCCGGAAATGGCTACGTGGAGAGCTCGTTGGTTTACGCCGGTTGGTCGCGCTCGTCGAGAGTTCGCCGGGGAAAGTGGTCGCTGGCTGCTGATGCGTGGGACCTTCGCGACGGAGGTGCTGGCGGAGGGAAGAATAGTCGCCGGAAATTGCAGCGACGTTGGATGTTGGGACACCTGCGGGAAGGAACTTCGCGAGGAGGTCGTCGCCGGAAGTCGCAGGCTCGGAGAGGAGAGAGATGAAAGTGGGTGATGAGATAGAAAAATGATGCTGAGGGAGGATGAGGATGAGGATGATGGGATCAAATTTAAGAAGAGAAACCATGTGAGGAGGTAGATCCGATCAAGAAGAAAATGGAGAAAATGATCTTTCACGTGAAGAACAAAATAGATAATATAATTTGAGAGATAGATAGATTATAGTATAATAAGGAAGTTTGACTATTCCTTGTTTATAATTACACGCACACACACATTCATATATTAATTGAACCGGACTTTTTGTTCACGCGAGTATAATCGGGCTCGATTAATCGCACGATAAATAAATAAAAACCGAGAAATATTTATTTAATATATACATTATTTTAAAATAAAAATATTAATAATAATAATCTCAATTAATTCGTAAACAACGGGTTTACAAATCGACTGGTTTCGACTACTGATTTATCGGGCTCAATCTCTTAAACTCCGAATAATCATAATGCTCGGAAAAATAAAATATGACGACTCGTAAATCTTAAAATTCACGGAACCGACATAATATATATTTATTAGCGCACACTAATAAATACATCATCAAATAATTATTTCTCTCTGGCAGTTTAATAAAATAATAATACTATTCGACTCGATATTAAAATTAATACAATTAATAATTATGAGCACATAACCGAAATAGAATTATCGAGCTCGAATAAATAATTTCGGAATAAAATAAAAAGTAACTAGTACAACACCTGTGTATTATACGGGTGCTTGTTAAAAAATTATTCTTTAATTTTAAAATTAATGGAAAAAAATTATTTAAATGTTATTTACTTTTTTACAAAAATATAAACTATTATATATTTTAGAACGACACTTGTTAGACTTACATGTGTTATATTATAGTAATTTTTTATAACTACTTGAAATATAAATATATTAATCGATAAATAATTTTATTTTTCTAATTAATATTAAAAAATAATGTTATTATTGTTATAAATATAAATATCATTTATTTTTTTATACATACAATATGGATGTTAAATCGAAGTTCATCAAGAGATGATTAATTTGATATATTATACATGTAAAACTGCTAAAAAATACAAAAGTTATTAACTTTTAAAATATATTTACAATTTAATAGTTATAATAAGAAATGATATTAAAATATAATTAATACATGTAATATGACCATAAATAATTAACATATTTATGGATAATCCGAACTTAATTATTTTTATATTGAAAGTAAATTAAAATCTAACAAGCCTAATAACGAAACATGTAATTTTGTCACATAGGATCTCGAAACATGCGAGCCAGCCACTTAGGCTCGACACGTTCTGAATTAATATATAGGGGGGATTATTGAGTTTCTAAATCTATATAATTACTGGCTGATACATTTAATAAAATATTTAATAAAACCTATTTTCATTTCCCTCCAAAAGGAGTTACATTTATTTTAATTAATTACTCACTAATATGCTAAAACCGTTACATCTTAATATATATATTTTTATTATTTATTTTTTGGATCAGTTACTAAATTAATTCTAAATTTGGTAGCAAAATATTCAGATGTGTAACGGCTAATGTTGGAACTTAAAGTTGATTGGAGCAATCAGAGCTGTAACCGCTATATTTGGTTGCATTGTTGGAAGAAAAATATGATTGGCACATATTTTATTTTTTTTTTCTAAAAATCAGAAACACCATAATTTTTGTTATTTATGTTAATTTTCTTAATATATGCCACAAATATATAAATTATTTTATTTATGTTACTAATGTAAACGTTGTATGATTAAAATAAAATTTAAATTTCAATTAATTAATGTTAAAAATAAATTAAATCTCATTTAATAAAAATATGTAACTTTCAGTTACACAATTTATTTTGGCAAGTCCCATTTGGAATGTCCTCATTTTTGTAACGTCTTTTTATGTTTTAAAATACAAATATTTTTATTTTTTATTTTGATACTCTATAATTTTTAGTACTATAATATAAATACATATTTCACAACTAATTAAGAATGACTACAGATATATCTATTTTCTATTGCAGTCATACAATAATAATTTTTTTTCCAGATATTACAAAAATACATCAAATATTATGAAAAATCGAATTCTAGAATCACGAGTCGAAGAAGTTTAACGATAATGATTTGTTGTGATGAGTATTCTGATTATAGGAAAACCACGAATGTTATATAGTGCTTAATAATATTTCGATTCAGTTATTAAATTTTTTTTTCTCATTTATTAAGTTATGCTTTTTATTTTATTCTATATTTTTATTTACTTTCTCTTCTATCACATCGTTTTTGTGCAAATGCATTGGATATAACTAGTGTTTAGTAAGAAAATAACATCTTTATTTTTATCAAATTATATGAGTGGTCCCCACGTTGTGGCTATAGTAAAATTTTAAACTCATACCATATAACATGTTGAGAGATAAATTTATTTAATTAAATAAATTGTGATTTTATTATTTTCTAACTAGAGTCGAGATCGGCATAGACTACTCTAAACCACCAAAATTGACATATAAGATTACGAACCATCGACACATACAATTACTATGAAATACAACCACCATGATTGATATATAAAATTACGAAATATTGACACATAAGATTACGAAACATCAGAGGTAAAAACCTAGACTCTAAAACTATGCATTTATATAATATGGAGGAGAATATAAAAAGAACAGAAAAACAAGAAGCCCTAAAATTATGTATTCTACATTTATAATCTAATTATATTTTCTCTTATATATTTTTAATTAGTCAAAAGTAAAATAACAATTAGATTACATTATAATTAGTAACTTTTTATTCAATACTGAATGCTATTATTAGCTATGTAACTCAATTGTATTCTAAGACACTCATAATTATATAGATCATTTTTAGTAATCTAATTCTTTTGCACGAATAATATTGCCAAAGTTGTACTATACAAACGTCCATACATTTTGGTAAAGAAAATATTATTCCATTATTAATAATCTGCCAATAATATTAACTTTCACCAAAATATCATCTCCAAATTATCTACTTTTAATCACTGAATAATTGGTTGCGTAAGTTGAATAGGAACGTAAGTTGGATAAAAAAATATCAATTTTAATAAGGAAAATATACTTAACCTTATTCCATATGTTTTTCACTATTAATGTATTAGTTTTTATTTATTTAATTTGGTTCAATTGTTCTTTGTTTGGTGAAATTGAGACGTGATTTGGTGCCCTGGTTGAATAATCTATCGTTGGTCGAATCTCGATGAAGCAATCATATCTGTAAAATTTCAAACAAATCAGAGTTTATGTATTCATTTAATTTTTCACAAAATATTCTATCGCATATTTATTCACTCACTATTCTCCGTCACGTGCAAAATTTCAACTATCGAAATTCGTTTGAAACGTGTTATATATATAGACTCAATCTAATTATAATCAATCAGTGGTCTCGTGTGCAAGCAGTTTTGGAATTTCTGGTTGTAAGTGAAACTCAAATTAATTCAGCTAATACTAATCTATATCTATTAGAAAGCATCCCATCCCAATTATTAATACAGTATTGACGTTATTATGACNAAAAAAAGAGAGAGAGAGAGAGAGAGAAAGAACGAAAGAAAGAAAGAAAAACAAATCCCATGTGCAACCTATGGTCTTAAAATTGCTAACGTCCACAAGAGTTTCTTTATATTGATTTTGTTAAGAATGTTGGTTTCATATAACAAATTAGATAACAATCACAATTATTTGATTACAAATTTCATTGTCACTCGTTGGACGTGCTAAAATTGATTGACAAATTGGACATTTTTAATAGTGACTAGTACAGAGCTTGTACGATGCACGAGGTACACAATTTTAAGGTTATTTATCCAAACTTATAATTATATACATGAATAAAGAAAAATGTACGGGATATATATAGTACGTGACCCGTGCAAAGCACGAGATATATTTATTTGGAGAATATTATATTATAAGATGTCATATTCAATAAAAGTTTATAATACGCAAGAAAATTGTACAATGTTCAATAAAAGTTTTATAATATTCAAGTGGAGTCTTAAAGTCTCTTGTACATTAAGACTACTGACAAAATAACATTTTAATCAATGAGTTTCATTTCCTTGTAGCCAAATTGTGAATGTGATTTGAGGAGTATAACAAATCGATATATAGCTAACTTGCTTTTTTCATTGTAGTTTTTTTTCTTTTTTTTTTTTATAATGAATTTAAAGATATTCTAAAATATAGCAAAAATTAATTTTTTTATTACAATTAGGAATTTTACTAAATATAAACTCTCAATCTATGGTGTTAATCAACGTTTAAGTCTAAAAAATTAGAAATTTTTACCTCTTTTAATCAACGTTTAAGTCTAAATAACAATAGAATTATTATAAGTTTTTTTTCTACATCTTTTAAAACATTAAATATGAGCATGTTAGGGCTAGCTTGTAAAATAATTAATATATTATCTCACTACAACATTTATACTAATAAAAATTTAATTTTAGCATATAAATTTATCCCTTGATATAAGAGAAAGTAACAGTTTTACTTATTGTTGTTCACCATATAATATTTAATTATTATTTTATTATATAATAAAAAATAAATATTGTTAAATAGTGTAGTATAATTGTTATAAAATTATATAATTTTTTTTGTAACAATATGGATTTAATATTTTTTTATGATTTGATAATATAAACAAATCTATACTTAACTTTGACAAATAAAACAAATAAATACTTTAGTAAGTATTTAATGTATATACTAAATAGGAAATACTTGGTATAATCAAATACCAAATATAATCAAATAAGTCAAAGTGTACATTTTTATTTGGTATTTGATTTTTTTATTATTAAAATCTTTTTATTATACTTACCTTTTTAAAATAAAACAAATAAATAAATCAATTAAATAAATAAAATATTATAATACCAAAATAGTAATGACATTAATGCAGTTGACTTTTCTGGATAGTAAATATAGTAAATAGAATCTCCTTTTATATAAGTATAGATTGTATAATACAGAAATAGTAATGCAATAAATGTTGTTGACTTTTTTTTATACTAAATTTGGTAAATGGTATACCTTTTAATATAAGTGTAGATTAAGTAAAGTGAATTGCATAATGTTAGAAATATCAAAACCATATTTCTAATCTCTGTGTGATTTTAATTTATATCTGGAATTAATATTTTGTTTCAATAATTTTTAAAATGTGATATTTCAATTATAAAATGTGTACCTTGCAAATGGTTAAGTCGACAGATTGCATTGTCGAATCACAATAAAGTTATGTAACTAATGTTACACTATAAATGGCGTCTAGAAAAACTCAATTAATTTTTAACATAAACCACAACATCAATTAAAATAAAATAAGGAGTATAAAAGGGAAATGTGGTGTAATTGATTTTAAACTGATGTTTTAGAGTTTACTAGGTCAGTCAAACATACTTTAATGTATAAATCTTATTAATTGATTTTAAATTCCAATATTTAACTTCTCTTTACTAAGTTGCTACAGTTAGTGCACATTAAAAAAAACAAACTAGGCGTTCGTTTAGAACAATCCAATAAATATCAAATTGATCTATTTTAAAGTTTCAGACCTTCAGTTAAGACAGTCATAATATTTTAATGATAAACATAAATCCAAAATAAACTATCATATTAAAGAAAATAAATAAATGGCATTTCATAGTATAAAGTATGCATGTTTTCCACAAAATTACAATTGGTCGATTTACTTTACGGTTAACTGTGTCATACAAAAATTTGCAGTAAAAGAATACTTTACCACCATGATGATGATAATAATAATAATAATAATAATAATAATAATAATAATAATAATAATAATAATAATAATAATAATAATTCAAAACATGGATATGTACCATATGAACTAATTTGATTTTACCGTTCAATATCATAGTTGCTTGTGTATTTAGAATAAAAGAATTTACATAGCTAAATGGATTAAGATGGATTAATTTGTTAGACGATAGACAATAGTTATTTATACTTTTATCCATGTAGGTTAGAAATTTATTTTTATTTTTTTAAATAAAGCTTTGATAATTATAATTTTAAATAACGTTTTATTTGCTATTAGTTTTTTAATATAATATATAAATACCATACTATATATATACAATAATACTTTTTATTATTTGATATTTAATGTACAAGAAATATAACTCAATTGATAAGTTAATAGGTACCCTTGCGATAAAATAATTAGCAATTTCTAAAAAATATATGGATTAAAAAGAAAAAAGAGTAAACATCCAACTTTTAAAACTAAGGGTGAAATTAGATATATAAAAAAATCAATTTCATTATTCATCATTATATATACTAGTATATTCATTATCAGTATCACTGTTTTAAAAAATATACTATATATTTATTATTTTGTATTTTTCCAATCGTCCAGCTAACCCTGCTACCGTCCACGTGGCTAATTGTGGCAAATTCCGACATTAGAGACAGCTCAAGGTATGAATCCGTATATTTCGTTACACCAATTTCGTACTGGAAAATGACAAATGCATTCACCAAAGTTACTCAAGTGGGCCCACTCATCTCGTACTTCTCTCTTAAGATGTTATTAATATCTTGAGGGATATGAAGATTAAAAACAACATAACATAGCAAATAAAATACAAAGTATGCATTATCATTGAATAAGTGTACAAAACCAAAATTATAACATTTTATTAAAAAAAAGAAGATGAATAAAGTATGAACTATTATTAAATATATATAAAGAATAAAACCAATTAACTGTTGTGACGCTTCATAACAAATTTATAATCATCAGTATGATTGCTATTAGAGATATCCAACAGTTTAGCAGCTAAATTTTTCAATAAATATACACTCAATTTAAAACTGAAAACCCGAAAAATCCTCATGAACAATACATTCAACTATTTTTTTTTTTTTTTTTTTTATTTTTCTTTATCTTTTTTATCCTTGACAATTAATTAGAAGGCTAATATTTCTGCATTTTCACCTATAAGGATCACATGTACATGAAAGTGCTTTGTCTTCATTTGTAACACCTTAAACTAACCTAAATTCCACCTACCTTTTATATGCAAACACCTCAAAAACCTTACACACACACACTTCACACTTCACACTCTTCACTTTCTGAGACACACACATTTTCATTGCCTTCTCCGCTTCATAATTTCCCCTCCAAATAGAAAAAAGATTGTTTTTTTTCTTTTGCACCTTTGCTTTTCCCCCTTTGCATGGCAGTTCAGCTCTTGGCTTATCAGGTGGCCGACCTCTGCCTTGGCAAGCCGCCGCTCAGCTACCTTCCCGCTTCCTCCGCCACTGTCGCCGACGCCCTCGCCGCCCTGAAATCCACCGGAGAGAGCTCCATCACCCTCTGGAGCTGCGATCACGCCTCGCCGGATAAAGATTGCGTGTGCGTGGGAAAAATCTGCACGGTGGACGTTATCTGCCATCTCAGCCGGGAGGAGAATCTGGCCTCACCGGCGGCGGCTCTGCAGTCTCCGGCAACCGTTTTGGTGCCGAGAGTCGAGGGGCTCGTGAGGCACGTGGACCCTTCTTCCAGGTGGTCCATTTTCCTCTCTCTATAGAATGTTCTTTCTTGCATAAATCAAGTCCCTTCTAGGCTTCTATCTTATTTTTTCCAATTTTTTTCCCATGTTCATCCCTTCTTTTTCTTCTTCTTGTGTTGATATTTTGATTGAAATCTTGTTTATCATGCTTGGTGCTGAATTTTATGAATTTGAGTGTGGAATTTATAATTTTGGTAACATTTGTACAATATGGTCTGAATTTGAGAATATGGGCTGGATCTGAAGCATGTAAAATGTTCGACAAAATGATTAACTGAACAGAGTACATTTCTGAATCTTTTGCTCTGTTTCTTGCATTTGGTACAACATATATTTGGCTTTCCATGGGCGATATTTGTCCCTTTTGCTTAATAACATGAAATTCTATCAAAGTTGACATGAAATTATTGATTTTATATATATATGACTTCCAATGCTTATTTTCGCCCATTTTCTAGCTGAAAAACATGAAATTATTGATTTTATCTAAAGCCCATTTTTTTTCTGTCATTGCTCTTTAACAGCTTACTAGAAGCCATTGATCTAATCCTAGAGGGCGCCCAAAATCTCGTGGTCCCCATACGAACAAACCGCAAGCAAAGAAAGCAGCTCCAAAAGCCCTCACCTTCAACCCTATCGACCAATCACAACGGCCGAGAATTCTGCTGGCTCACTCACGAGGACTTTGTCCGATTCCTCCTCGGCCTCATCGGCCTATTCTCCCCAATCCCTACCCTTCCCATCGAAACCCTCGGCATAATCAGCCACAACTTCCCATCCATGAGCCACCACTCGCCCGCCAGCTCAGCACTCGAGGCCATCCACCGAGCTTCCATCGACCAGACCTCGGTTGCCTTGGTCGACGAGCTCGGTTCACTCACGGGCGAGATTTCTCCTTTTACCCTGACAGCTGGCGACCTCATGGGGCCGCCGGAGGAGTGGCTGAGAGAAAAGGGCCTCTTGACAGGTGGCAATTGTTGTTGCTCGTCTGATGATGAGTTGGCATCACCAACAACGCCCTTGGGCGGGATGTGGGCCCGACGGGCTTGCTCGGCCCGGATGATGTGGCGGGACGAGGCTAGGGTTTGTGGGCCCGGGAGCTCGTTGGTGGCGGTGATGATACAAGCGATTGCTCGTCGGGTGGGGTCGGTGTGGGTGGTGGATGGGGAGGGGAGGGTGATTGGGATGGTGACTTTTGCTAGCATGTTGGGGGTTTTTAGGGATTGTTTGGAGTCTTTGGTTTGATGGTTTGTTTGTTTGGTTTAGGGTTTTTGTAAAGAGGGTGATTTTGGACATTTGGTTGGTTCTTCTTCTTCTTCTCTTTCTTTTTTTTTTCTTTGTTTCTTTGTTTCTTGTTTTGCTAGAATAAGTGTGGTGGGTGTGAGCTCATCTCTTTGAAGTTTGTTTAGAGATCAATTGGAGGAACATGTTCTGGGGTTTTTAGGAATTGTGTTGGGGTCTTTGGTTTGATGCTTGTTTGGTTTAGCTGTTTGTAGAGAGGGTGATTTGGACATTTGGTTGGTTGTTCTTCTCCTCTTTCTTTCTTTTTTTATTGTTCTTCTTTTTTTCTTTGTTTCTTTTTCTTGTTTTGCTAGAATAAGTGTGGTGGGTGTGAGCTCATCTCTTTGAAGTTTGTTTAGAGATCAAATGGAGGAATATATTGTGATTGTGTGGAGTCTTTGGTTTGATGTTTGTTTGGTTTAGCTTTTTTGTAGAGAGGCTGATTTGGACATTTGGTTGATTCTTCTTCTCTTTCTTTCTTTCTTTATTTTTTTTCTTCTTTTTTCTTTGTTTCTCTTTTCTTGTTTTGCTAGAATAAGAGTGGTGGGTGTGAGCTTCTCCCTTTGAAGTTTGTTTAGAGAGATCAAATGGAGGAACATGTTGTGATTGTGAGACTGTAAATTAACTTTTGTGTATGTGGCTTTTTTTTCTTACTTTCTAGGGTTGTTTTCTTCTGTATGTAGAGTCGTAATCTCCCCTATGGAGCATTTGGAGTTGTTAAACAAAACAAGTCACTCGTGAGCTCAACTCGATATCAAACGAGTCGAGCTCGAGTTCGCTTGAAGTTTGTTACGAGCAGGGGCGGAGCTATGCACAATTCTTCCCGGGCTTTAGCTTGGGTAGAATTTTTTGGAACCATATATACATATATATATATATATATGTATGTATACATATATATATAATTTTTTGGAACCATATATACATATATATATATATGTATATCTTATTTTAGTTATATATAACTAAAACAATTTTAATTATATACATATACTTAAAATAATTTTAATTATATATATAACTAAAATTGAAATTGAACAATGTTTATAATATTAGTCTAACTAATTAAAATATTGGCATAGTCACATCAAATAAAATTATCGAACCATTTTAAATTTAAATAAACATCTCATAGATATTAATTTTGAGGAAATTTATCTTGATAAAATTNGGGAGTATAATTTTATCCCGAGTAAGTTATAAATCTGCCCCTGGTTACAAATCGTGCTCGGTTCGGCTCGACTCGTTAAGTCTCGAAAAGATAATTTTATATAATTTTTTATAATTCGCTTCCTTAAAACTCAAAATTGGCTTGTTGAGTCTCGAATTGTTTAGTAGGTTTGTTTGAGTGTTTGTGAAGTTTGGTCCTTAGAGCATCCACAATGCATTAAGTCTAATTTTACCTATGTGGTATATAAATAGACTTAAGTCCTAAATGACATGGACAAACTCAAGTAAAAAAACTCAAAATCTATTCAATGCAAAAATAGAATACTAGGTCTAACATACATGTCAACCAATAAAAATGCTCTAATATGTTTCCTTTATTAAAAGAAATATTAAATTAGGAATAAATGATGAGTGTTTGGGTTTGTACTTGGGTCCAAAATAGATCCAAGTGTGGATTTTGTCTCTTTTTTTTATTGCCACATAAGCTAGAGTAGGTCTACTTTTAATTGCATTGTGAAATAATTTTTTATAAATTAGATCTATTTCCTACATGACATGTGATTTTTTGTTAAGAGACCCAAAACATTATAGTTGCACTAAGTGTTTTAAATTAGGAGGACAAATTGTGCATCGACAGGTATGTTTGGCCTGCATCTTTTTCAAAATTGCTTTCATCAAGTTTTTTACTTTGATCTATCATTATATAAAAAAAATAACCTTTTAACACATTTAGAAACATTTTCCCGCCAAAATCATTAAATATATTCTATATATAGTAATTGTTGGACAAAACTGAATAGACAAAAAAATCGGCTCATTAATTGTGTAAAGATTTGTTTCTCTTTTTCCCCTTTTTTAGTTTATCAAAATCGTTGTTTGACATTGTTTTTCTTTTTCTTATTTTTAGTATAAATCTACACGAGTTACAAAATCCTATTGCTTATCTCTTCTGTTACAAAATCCCATTGCATGCGTCTCACGTGTTTTAAAAATCTCATCCCTTATCTATACAGATTTGAAAAAATAAAATAAAATAGAAACCAATTCATAATTACTACTAGAAATCTATTATCTTTAAAAAGAAAAAAGTAAAATAAAATAGAAACCAATTCATAATTACTACTACTAATATTTTTACAAATATTATAAGCTATAATAATAATTTTGAAATGGTGTGTAATCAAATTTTTTTATATTCTCTTATACAAAATAATTTTACATTGTTTGACCCTGAATCTTTAATTTATAATTATTAAGTACTCCCTCCATTTTGAAATATAAGGCATTTAAGGTTATTGCACAAATATTAAGGAGACATTAATTAATGAATAAATTGACTAAATTAACCTTATTTACTCTAATCACAACCACTCCACACTTCCTTAATTTCAACGCAATGAGGGTATATTTGGAAAAAAATGCAAAAATTTGTCTTAATTTTTGAGCGCGCCTTATATTTCAAAAAAAATGAGAAATCTTTATACGCCTTATATTTCAAAATGGAGGGAGTATTGTTTATCCTCCTCTTTAATTTATGAATATCTTTTTCTTCCTCTTTTTAAATAGGATCATTAGTAGTTTCCACTTCCACCATTGAGTGACTCAAATTCAATGTCTATTTATAATATTGTTAATTTAATATTGTTCTCGTGCATCGCGCACGGGTACACACTAGTAATTGAGAAAAGGTCAAGCGCTTTTAGCCTTTTGCTTTTGGGAACTTTTAGAAAGACAACATAAAATAATTAAGTTTTGGCCTTTGGGCAATCAGATTGAAACGTTGTAATCAATTTAATGTGGGATTTAGCTGTTTGACTGCATTTAATAATACGTTCTTTTTTCACTTAAGTGAAGATTAGACGTTTGAATGAATTTTAATTATAAGGTTTTAATCAACGTTTGCTGGTCCTGAAGATTTGGACTACTGGAAAGTAACATAATAAAATATTATTTTCAACGTAACATGTTTGGATATAAAACTTATTGGTTTTGTTGAATTTTTTGGATTGGTATTTTAGTTTGGTTAATTTTAAAAAAGGTGGTCTAGTTAGTCTTTAGTGTACATATTAAAATAATGTTTAAAATGAAATAATTAAAATTGATTTGATATAAAAGTAGAAGAGAGATGATTTAAAATGATGGTTAGGATTGATAATGAATTAAGGTTGATGTGGCGTGTATGGATGATTGATTGATATTATTTAATTACATTGATAATATTGATGATAGTATGGTGGAGTTAAAGTTAAGATAAAAAAACATGGTTTAATTAAAATGTTAGAATTTTTTTGAAATCTTTTGTATGCAAGCATACCATCAATTTTTGCAATGTTTTTAACCCAACCCGGTAATTGACATGTTTGGCCTTCGCCTCGCCATGTTCGGTTCAACCGTTTGATAATTAATTTTAGAGATTTCAAAATTATACATTTAATATTTTTATTTTTTAAATATACATAAAAATAATAAAATTGAATAATTTATATCAAAATTTTACATAAACTAGTACGACACTCGTGTACACCTATCATATCTCACCATAAATATTTGTCACATACTGGTCACTGGAATTATTTCCTCTCTATTTATCAACTAATACGACACCCGTGTAGTACATGGGTGTATGAAAAAATAATTTGAACACAAAAAATAATAGAGTTTAGTATTGTATTATATACAAAATAAATAAATGGAAGAAATCCCGTTATAATATGTGTTAGAATCCTGTTACGAATTCAATTCAAGATTTTGGAGTGTGAAGAAATTGTTACCATATATTCGTCAAAAATTTAAAAACATTGTTAACTCAATTATCAAATAATAGTGTTAGTTAATTCAATTATCAGATAAAAGAAGATAAAAAATTAATTTTCAAATAAAATATTATTAACTCAATTATCAAATAAAAGAAACACTGTTAACTCAACATTGATCTCCTGTCAAATAAGAGATCTATTGTTAACTCAATTATTAAATTATAGTGATTTTTAAAATGGAAAAATAAAATAAAGAAAGAAAGATTTGTGTGATCTTTAAATTTAAAACTAATTGGTAATGAAAGAGAAATTGATGGGAGTTATGGTGAAAAAAATATTTATAGCATTTTTCAAGAAAATTTTATTTTTAAATTTTTTATCCGAAACTAAATATAAAACATGATATTATGACACATAAAATTTCAAAGCGTGCGACCCTGCCACGTAAGCTCATCAGGTTTTGGATTAATATATGCGTGGGAGGGGATTATTTTGCTTGGATCCCAAGGGTCGGGCCGGCCCAAAGAGTAATCCGATTACTCCCAATTAAAACTCCCAAATTGAACAAGTTTTCCCCTTTCAAAACCCTAGCTATCAGAACCAACGATCAGAAGAGATGGGGAATAAGAAAGGGAAGTCGGTGACAAATTCGCGGAAGCCGAGGCACTCGCTCGATGTCAACCGCCGAGGGGGTAAAGCTAAATCCAGCAATGGGCGGAGCGCCGCCACGGTGCGGCGGCTCAAGATTTACCAGACGCGCCCAATCCGCGACGCCAAGGGCAAAATCCTGAAGCATGACTTGCAGTCGAAGGAATTACCGTCCACTCGAATTATGCCGGATAGCAGATATTTTAGTGAGTCATCCAGCTGTTGTCGTGTTCGGTTTTTTTTTTTCCGGTATCATCCATGGTGGTTCAGCTCAAATTATGTCAACCCAGACAAAGTGGATTTAGGCACTTATTATTTTGGATATTATTGGTCGTTTGGCTAATTATGAGTACTAGTGATGGTGTACTAGGAAAAAAGTTATAACCAGACTAGACCATTATTGATGAAGGTATAGGAATTGTGTGAGTAATGGAGTTAGCTGAAACCATGTATGATTGCAGATAAACTCATTAAAATTTAACATGGAACGAAAATTGAATGTGGTATCCAGTGGCTATTTATTCAATCACTTGTTAACAGTTGAATCTTAGTTCTGGGAAGTCTTGTTTAGCATTCAA